AGATTTAGTAGCTTAATTGCACTATTGTGTGCAATTCAATAACTTATTTAACCCTTATTCCAAAAAATAATCAACAAATAAAGTAATCATAGTCAAAGAGCTAAACCAAATTGAGTTTTTTCCACTTTTGGTCCCTTGACTTCACATGTGGTGACAAATGGGATTCACGACTTTTATTCCGGACATAATAGGTGCACAACTTCAATTTTTTTTCCACATTTGGTCCTATCCGGCCAAGAACCCGGCCAACCCACCGGAATTAGACCCAACCCTTATTATGGCAAGGGTATTCTAGTCATTTCTAACCCATGAATATTGATTAAATAAACTATTTACTCCGTATTTACACCTCATCGCTCGTCTATCTCTGTTCGATTGTGCGAAGAAGGAAGAAAAAAAAAAACCCTACCCGTTCGATTGTCTTTGTTCGAAGAAGGTGTGGCGTGCAAGATGAATGCAAATTCTTCAACATCTAACTCGACCGGTATGTACTATGAATATGGTGAATGGATTCCTGTAATACATTGTCGCTGTGGGTATCAAATGAAGTTGCGAACTTCCTGGACGAACGAAAATCCTGGGAGAAGGTTTTGGCAATGCCCAATGGCTAGGTGTAGCTCAATGGAATGGTTCGACCCTCCCATGTGTAAGAGATCGAAGAAAATAATCCCAGGTTTGCTAAGGAAGATAAATAAACATGAAGAACAGATTCAAAAGTTGCAGCAGGAGAAGTTGAAAGCTGAAGAAAAAAGTAAAGTCCAGTTACTCCGTGATGAGCCAATGCCAATACAGTGGAAGATTCATGTACTTATAATGTTTGTAGGTATCGTTGTAATCCTACTTATTTGTAACACTGACAGTAGGTTAGTGGATTTAAAGCAGTTAATGTAGTATGTTGGGCATTTAAGATTGAACCAAATGTTTGCTTTGTTGAAATTCAAGTTGTTTGTATTAGTTTGCTGTGCAGTTAAATTCTTCATTCAGTTTTTAATTTCTGTATTAATATGTGAATGAGGTAGATGGAATGGGGACTGATGAGGGATTTGGAGTGAACACACAGTTAATGAATAATAATGGGCAGATGCAATTAACCAATAACTAACAAATCTGGATTGACATACTACCAAAATGATGATTTCATTAATATTTTTGGACAAAATACAAGTTGAATATATCATGATCGTAATCAGTTTGACATACTACCAAAATGAAATACCAAAAGAGATTATATTACCAAACATTTCAAATGGTTTCAATTGACATATTGTTTCAATTGCTAGCCAAAATCTAAGTTCCCAAAAAACAGTAGTTCCCATACATATTTAGTCAATGGTTAATGGATCATCAGAGTTTCCAAAGAACAGAGATTTGAAAGTCTTGGAAGCCCTTGTCCTTCCTGCAATACCTCTGTTCTTAAGCTGTTTTTGTTTCTTGGCATTGTCCTTTCCCTTGCCCTTCTTCTTTGGTGGTTGCCCAGAACAACCTTCATCTGGAACATGTTGGTCTTTAGCTGGAACAGGTTGGTCTTGATGTGGAACAGGCTGGTCTTCAAATGGTGTTGAGAAATCAAAATGATTATAGAAATCAAGATCTTCTTGAGTCAGTATTTCTTGCTCATTCAGTGGCTCAACTGGAATGTTAAATAACCCAATGTTATTTCCCTCCTCAAAAACTGGAACATAAACTGGATCTTCAAGTGGAACATCAACTTCAGTTGGATCTTCAAGTGGAACTGGAACTTCAGTTGGATCTTCAAGTGGAACTGGAACTTCAGTTGGTTCTTCTAGTGGAACTGGAACATCAACATCAACTTCAAGTGGTGATGGAACTTCAACATCAACTGGATCTTCATGAACTGGAACAGCAACTGGATCTTCAAGAACTGGAATTGACACTGGTACAGAAGTAGGCTTGATCACTCTTTTCCTTGGCTTCATCTAAAACCAAAAAAAAAAAAAAAATTACACAAAAATTAAGTTAGTTTATGGAATTGACTTGAGTAAAATTTCAGGAGAATATAGAAATACCTGTTTATGGGTTCTCATTGTCTTGTCTGGACAACTCCTGCAATTATGACCACTCTTCCTACATATGCTACAATGCAACTGAATATGACTCCTAGCAACAGATAAACCATCCTTGGTGAGCTGATTCTGAGCAACTGATACCCCATCCTTGGTGAGCTCACCAGCTGATCTTTTCCTGCATTTCTGTGGTCTACCTGGCCTAGCAGTGTATAGTGGAGGAAGGGGAGGTTTTCTGTCAGTTAAAGGCCAATTTGTAGCCCCTGCCATTGGATGTATGGATCCCTCATATATTTTCAGGTAAGTGTCCCTTGAATAACATTTGTCAATATAATCATGAACTACACCTTTCTTTAGCCAAATAGCACAAACAGCATGCTTACATGGGATTCCAGTTAAATCCCATTTCCTGCAAGAACATCTTTTTCTTTGCAAATCAACCTCTTGCTGGTCCCCATACATTCCTTGGATTTCAAACAGATGATAATCACTCTGAGTTGCCCTGTAACTTGCAGCTTGTTTTTCTATCACAGCTAACTTGTCCAAGATCCTAGGGCAGATATTCTGAGTCCATTTTTTTGCAGCCTCTCTCTTCTCATACAGTTTCTTCATTAACAATTTCCTGATGTTTTCTAGGCAGCCAATAATGGGTTGTTGTCTTGCTTCAGATATCACACTGTTAAAACATTCACATATGTTATTAACCAACATATCACTCTGTGATGCACATGAGAAATGTGATCTTGACCATTCTTTAGGATGTTTATCTGCTAACCACTCAAATGCATTCACATCTAACTCCTTCAAACGTCTAAACCCTCTATTGAAATCAGTGACAGTGTATGCTCTTGCACAAGACCATAATGCATCCTTAAGTGATTTTCCTTGGAACCCTGCAACCTTCATATTACCATGAAGGTGTCTTACACAGAACCTGTGCTCCACTTTAGGTAAAATATCCTTGCAAGCTTGAATTAAACCCTTCTGTTTATCTGAAATTATTGTGAATTCATCCTCATTCCAAGCAGTAATATCCAAGTCAGTTTTCATAAACTCTAGAAACCATGTCCAGGATTGTAAAGTTTCTTTCTCAACTATAGCATAACACAATGGAAATATGCTATCATTAGAGTCAATCCCTATAGCAGTGAGCAACACACCTCCAGTAATTGTCCTTAAGTGAGTCCCATCAATTCCAATTATTTTCCTGCAATATTTGAAGCCTTTTTTGCATGCATCCCAACACATGTAGAACCTAAGAAATCGTGAATCCCCATTCATTTCTTTCAAGTCACTCAATTTAATAAAACAACGTGACATTGGATTTGTTCTTTTAATTTCCAGCTCATAACTCCAAAGTTTATTAAAGTTCTCTTCTTCATTTCCTTTCAGAATAGTTTTAGCCTTAGCAAGCACTCTATAGGTCTGCCTCTCACTCATATTGTACTTGTCATCATCATGAACTTTTTCTTTAAACTTTAACATCTTCCAATCAGGATTATAATTGATTTCCTTGCTCCACCTCTTGGCTATTTTAGTTGAATTCATCATTCTGTTATCGAAAGCCCATGAACATCCATCATGCTTTTGCTCCATCGTTAAAATCCTCCATGACAAAGAGTTTATAACTTTTCTAAGACTTATTCTGAAAGGACAACCCTCTTGTTTACATTCTACAATGAATCTATATTTGTCATTCTTCACAAACTTCATATCTTTTCCATTTTTAATGGCATAGTTATGAACAGCTTCTTTAAACTCTTGCTTAGAGGCAAATGTCATTCCTAGAGTGAATTCAGGATCATTCATATCTGTACTTGCCCTAAAATTAGTCCATAATCCACCACTTATCTCACAATCACTATCTGATTCCATAATTGAGGCATCATCAGACAGGTTAGGGTCAAATATATCACTTTGCAAAGCCTGACTGCCCACCTCGTTTTCTAAGTTATTTATTAAACCCCTATCTTCAACTCCATAATCTATATGTTCTTCAAACTCTATGTCATCCTTATTTTGAACATTGTCATCATCAGCACTTAGTTCATTATACTCACTGCCCTCAGTGTCACTGTCATATTCAACACTTTCACCTTCAAAGACAAATATTTACAATACAAAATCAAATCAAATTCATACACAAATTCGGAGCAGTGATATCACAAATGCAAGTGGTAAAACAACAAAAATGGTCCCCACAGAATATACATAAACTGTATAAGAAATGGTATTCACATTTGCAGATGAAATAAACAAATGAAAAAGTAAAAATGGTCCCCAAATGGTCGAACTGGGTCCCAACTAAACCCTAATTTATACAGATATGGGTCCAAGCTAAACCCTAAAATATATACAGTCATGGGTCCCAATGAAACCATAATATATACTAAAGTATTCAACTTTATCAATATGCTCCCCTAACTGCATAACAACATCCTCAACATTCCAAAAAAGCAACTAATTTAACTTTTTGCCAGTGTACTTACCATGTGATGCCCAATCCGATGAAGAACAGCTTCGATGATGAGAAGCCATATCCGCCGCTTCAACAAACGATTTTACAGCTTGTGTTTTTGAGTTTCGCGCTGAACGATTATACAGCTTCAACGAACGATTTTACAGTCATGGGTTTTTGTTCTTCCTTCTTCGCACACTTAGCTTCGAACAGAGATAGACGAGGTGTAAATACGGAATAAATATTTTATTTAATCAATATTCATGGGTTAGAAATGACTAGAATACCCTTGCCATAATAAGGGTTGGGTCTAATTCCGGTGGGTTGGCCGGGTTCTTGGCCGGATAGGACCAAATGTGGAAAAAAAATTGAAGTTGTGCACCTATTATGTCCGGAATAAAAGTCGTGAATCCCATTTGTCAACACATGTGAAGTCAAGGGACCAAAAGTGGAAAAAACTCAAACCAAATTCTACTAGGAGTATGAGTTAAAATACATTTGGAATGGGCCTCGTATTGGGCTTAGTCTCTAGGCCTATTTGATGCTATAAAAATGGAGGCGGGAAGAGAGAGAGGGAGGGAGGGAGAAAGAGAGAGACAGAGCAATGAATCAGACAGTGCAGAAGAACACCTTGTACGTAGGTAAGCTGCTGGTCTAACTTTCTTACATGTCGTGTATATCATATACGTATTGAATTCGTATGTGTATCTCTATGAATTCGTACATTAAACCGTACATGCTGCTGCTGCGGCGGCGGCGACTGCAGGTGGATTGGCGGAGGAAGTGAACGAGGCGATCTTGCACGCAGCCTTCATACCGTTTGGAGACATCAAGGATGTGAAGACGCCGCTAGACCAGGCCACGCAGAAGCACCGCTCTTTCGGCTTCGTCACTTTTCTGGAGAGAGAAGATGCCTCCGCCGCCATGGACAATATGGACGGCGCCGAACTCTACGGCCGCGTACTCACCGTTAATTACGCTCTCCCGGAGCGCATCAAGGGTGGCGAGCAGGGTTGGGCTGCCCAACCTAGTAAGTCTTCACTATCATCACTCTTACTATTTCTTAATTTTTTTTTCAAATAACTGTAATTTTAAACCTAACCCTAGATTGTAAGCGGTAGCTAGTATATAGCATATTTCAATTGGCTTGAGGGAGGTTCTTTGAAAATTTAATTGTTTAGAGTTTTGGGGAATTAAGAATTGCATTGCAATATGGAATAGTAGGGAATTTCAAATTTAGAATAGAATCTCTTGAGAATTAATTGTGATTTTCAGTAGTTCTTCAAGAGTCGGAGCTTTCTGTAGAACTATTAGATGGAGTTGGAAGTTTAATGACGAGAAGACTGATGCTAAGTTCGAAATTCCCACCATTCTAGAAAGGAATAGGAAAAACCCTAAAGCAGAAAAGAAAAGATCCTATCTTTGAGAATGTGGCTAATTCATATTTGATGGCTGGCTGGCATTGTGGTATGAAGTTTGTTTCCTCATCTGCAAAGAAGTAGGGGATGGGAGCCTAAGATAGAAAACCCTAAGGAATGACCTCTGATCTTCCGCTTTTGAGTACTATTGACTCTATTACAAGGTAGTATCTGTTCTATACTTTCTCTATCTGTGGCTCTCCTTGAGGAAAGGTCACAGGATTGAATTCCGGTGGTGGGGGTTAATTTAAACATATACATAATGATCTTTGAAATTGCACCGTTAGGATAAACCTTTAGTACCGACATACCGTTCTTCAAAATTAAACCTTGAATTTACTATTATATTAATTATATTGTATTCAATTTATTTCTTCTTTGACTTTCCAGTTACTGTGTCTCTAAAACTCTCTGCACATTAACACCATTCTTGTCTGATCTGAATGCAAGCAAGGGTGGAGCTAACCGTTTGGGGGTAGGGGGGATACAATTAGTACAAATGTCGATTGACATTGGAAATTTTCTCTATAACTTGAGCCCCCAATATGATTTTTTTGCCTCCACCCTTGAATGCAAGTACTTACTCATTTATGCTATGTCTTCAGTTTGGGCGGATGCCGATACATGGTTCGAAAGACAACAGCAAGAAGAGGAAATGCAGAAACTCCAAGCAGAGCACAGGGCTGCCATGGAGACTGCAGAGGAATTACACAGGAAAAAAATGGCAGAGGAGCGAGAAGGAGAGAAGGAAGATGGAGATATCAAAGATGATCCCATGGCACAAGCTGAAGCTGAGGTTTTAAGAGAAAATGCAAGTTCTTAGTTAGTAAGCAATTGCTGCACCCAAGCATGTTTTAAATTTTTTAGAAGATGTGTACTTTAAAGAATTTTTGTGAAGAATCCAATCCCCTTTAACTGGAAATGTTTCTTTCTTGCTTGCATTGGCTTTGAAATTGAATCATTACCGGCAAATTATATCATAGACCAGAGTTCACCTTGCATGGTGGATCTTGATTCAAAATGACCATGTTTTATATTAACTATTAATTTGTATATCATTCTTCCAAAAGGCTGAACTACAACCCTAAGGGTCCCCACACCCCGGCCCGACAGAGCATTTGGGAGGATGTAAATCATGGTGACTCAGCTGAACATGAACTATAGAGGCTAGACCGGTGCTCACTGGGCACAAGGAGCCCCCCTCACTTTGAGAGGTTGCTCCCACACTGTCACTGGTGAGACTCGATCATTGATCATTCTTCCAAAGTTTCACCTCTATTAATTTGTATATCATATTCAATAACATCATTATGTTCATAATATTTGTTTTATGCGCCCATAAATTTAGATTTTAATGTCGATGGTCATATGGCCAGAGATTGTGCTAACAAGAGAAATATGAAAGTCTCCAAACAAATGGAGTCTATAGTGGCAGCAATCCAGTATGAGTCTGAGGATGAGGAAGATGAGACAATTGAGGTGACCGAGCATGAGGATGAGGATGTGTTTCTACCTATTGATTCATCCCAAGTTGAAGAAGGTGAACACTATCCCAATACACATGAGCTCGTGAAGAAGGACATCAAGTTTACTTGCAATCTAAAATAAGAGCATCAGAGCATGCATTCCAAATCTTGAAGAAGAAACTCACTACTGCTCCAGTTTTAGCACTTGTTTAATTGTTTTTATAAGACTTTAGAATTAGAATGTGCAACTTCATGTATAGGTATAAATAAGGGGTGCCCGCATGGGTAGCTCAACTGGTCATAGAGGTGAAACTTTGGAAGAATGACCAGGGATCGAGTCTCACCAGCGGCAGTGTGGGAGCAACTTCTCAAAGTGAGGGGGGTTCCTTGTGTGCAGTGAGCACCGGTCTAGCCTCTATGGTTCATGTTTAGTTGAGTCACCATGATTTACATCCTCCCAAATGCTCTGTCGGGCCGGGTTGGGGTTCTTCCTTTTGGAAGAATAAATAAGGGGTGGGCGTTCCAATTTTTTATTTTATTTTTTCATGTTCGTTCTTTCGATTTCAAATTTTAGTTCAATTCAATTTGAAAGTGTTTAATTTGAGAACCCAAACATTCCCTAGTTTTCAAGAGCAATGCATGGTAGACTGAGTGGTAGTCTAGGTGGCAGGATTGGAAGCATAAGACACTGTAAACCGGGATCCGTTCAAGGCTTTTAGACATCATCAGTGTTGCAAAAATCGCGTCTAGACGCTAGGCGGTCGGCCTCCTAGGTGCCCGCCTAGGCGGTCCTCAGTCACCTAACAATTTTTTCAACATTGGACATCATCAAATAGTTTTGAATACCTTCCCTCCGCTTCCACCGGTAAATTATTCTGTGGACCTAGATCCACCTTGCAAGATGAACCTGGATCCAAAGATACACAATTTACCTTTTAAAAATTCACAATTTGTGATGATACTGTATTGTTTTCCACAAATTCTCAAAATTAAGAAACACAATCACAATTCTAATATTAAAAATACACAATATAGGACAAGGATCCACCTTGCAAGGTAGACTCGGGTCCATGGTATAACAACCGGCTTCCACCAGGCCTTCTATTGGGCTTGGAGTTTATATTATTTTCCACAAACCGAAAGAACCCCCAGCAGTCCAGTGTCCAATTTATTTAATTCTTGTACTTATTTCCTAAAATACCCCTAATTATCCAATTTCATGATGAGCTAGGAAAAATAAAACCATCAGGTATGATTGCACATTATAGAATATCAATCAAAGCAACAACAACTCAATAAGAAATAGCATACATGTCTTAAAATTGAGCACAACACACAACATAAACAACATATTTAGTAAGAGTAAAGATACATCCTTAATCTACAATCGTAAAATGGTTCTTAGAGTCTCACTAAGGTTTTGAATGGTCTGTTGTTCTTGTGTAGCTTGCATTTCTTGAAGCGGCATCTCTTCATAGCACCTGTGGCGATGAGATCAAAGAGTCAATAACTGTTATAAATTATCATGAAAAGTGAATTATGATATAAATCAACCGGTTCAAGATTCAAGTCCAATCACAAATGCAACAAACTTGGAAGCTAAATGAGTTGAATAATCATACATCTTGTGATAAGCCAAGGCCTGTGTGAGATTCATTAGTGTAGGACTCGATGTAAGTCTCTGGTATACACTCGGAGGAAGTGGAACCTGTGACCAATTATGCAACACTAGTAAGCAGCAGCATAGCATAGGGGAAAAGGAAAAGGAGGGGCTGGGGTGGGCGGGGAGGAGAAATTTATTTTTATTTTTTTTCTTAATTTTAAACCAAAAAAAAAAAAAAAAGTGAGAGAAAGTGAACCTCATTTTGTCTAGCTCGACCCTTCTTTTGAGCATCACCAGTTAAAAGTTCCTGCACTCCATCCACAGCTATCTTCCCACTATCATCTTGCTGCCAGCCCCCAAGCACATTTTCAGACAAAAGTGCGACGGGTGATATATCAGTTGCCCTCAGGAAGGGAATTGGGACTGTGTTACCAGCTGAGTATATTGACCAAAGCTAGTGGGCACAAATGAAGATTAGCATAGTGAAGCAGTGCCACTGAGTTACAAACACATGACATATACAACAAACGGGGGGAAACAGAGTACCTTATCCAAAGCTTTCTTACTGACACTTTCATTCTTCATTGTTCTGCTTAGCGAAATGTTTCCCTTCAGATCATGATCAGGGGAAGGAGTAGTTTGCACATGTCCAGGTTGGGACGTCCCTTCTTTAGGGGAGCTAACATTTACCTCATCTTGCAACCTGATGAGATTAATTATTCACTTTAGAAAAGGGTAGCATTTTTTGCTTGAGACTTTCGAATTTCTATTAAAAGGAAATTTGACATCAGATATGCACCATGGGGCAATTGATTTTACTGGATAGGCTTTTGAAAAATACATTTTCTTTCTTGTTTCTTATTAAAGTATAAATCAAAGTTATTTACCAGGAAAAAAATGTAAAGAAAGAAAGTATGGGAAAATGCATGGACGCACCCACTCAGACATTGGTAAATATGGTGCTACATATGATGCTGATAAATCATAAATGTGGCAGCACAAAGAATACTTCATGCCTAATATATATTGCAAACCATTCAGACTATTCCAATAGATTAATTTTCTTCTAGTTTGATAGCAGAAGTGTAAAATAAAGCAGTTTCAAGTATTAAAGAACTTTCCAGAACGGCCATGAAATTGAAATAGCAACATTTTACTATTTCCTTTTGTGCATGGTTATATATACATAGGGATTGAATCCTATGAGAACCACTTCCAAATAAAAACTACGAACTAATCTTAGCCGTTGATCTAGGGAAGATCAACGGCTCTAAAGAAAGGGGAAAAAGGAGAAAAACTGTAATGGCATTTTGGTAAATGTTTCAAACTTTGAAATGCACCGCGCACAACTGCAAAGTGCATCCGATGTACATAGAAGTGCACTTTGTAGTATTGCTCAGGGCACCTTGCATATGTGGTTGGTGCACTTTAAAGCTTGAGATATTAAACAAAATACCACCGCATTTTTCCCTTGCCTTAGAGCCATTGACCATTCCCAGATCGATGACTAAGATGAACCCTCAGTTTTTACTTGGGTGGCAGTTCTCATTTGATCTAATACCTATACACACACAATATTTGGCCTCATAATGCACAGTTAAACAGCAGCATGAAAACTTATTTGATGTTAGGTTTTCTGTCCTTTTTTACCCCTCTTTTGACAACATCAAGGAAGATAGAAAATACCTAGGTTCAGTTGCCTTGTCACCATGGATATGAGCACTTTCACGATGCCTAAGAGTAGATGATGACTCTGCATTTATAAATGCAGTTTGACTAGCTGTTTTATCTACATCAACTCCATCTCGAACTATCATGGTCCCAAAGTCACCTGATAAAAGACCCAAAAATTTACCAAACATTTTTTAAATATAATATGCATTTCCCAATTCCCAGAAGATACGAAATAGTATAAAAGCTTATTGAGCCAACTTGCTTGCAAGATCAAAAAGTTAGCCTCAAAAATAGAAAACTAGACAGTACAAATCAGCCAAGATCCTGTCATAACATTTGTAGGGGTGATCTATTCACAATGTTTTGCTGGATTAACCTCAGGAATATGGTCATAAGTAACCATAGGGGATGAGATATAAATTAAATAGGTTTACCTTCTCCAGTAGGTTCCACCAAGTTTTGAGAACCAATTGCAGGTGACACTCCATTAGCAACTTGAAGACCAACATTAGGCTTAGAGGGAACAGTCTCCCCAAAGACTTCACTTACTTTTGGAACTCCTAGCTGCAATTGCACAAAATTGACAGGAGTATTATTAATAATGGAAGTCTCCACCTCACCTTTTCTCCGGGAGGGCAGGGGTAATTATTTGAGAAGAAGAAGAAAAAAAAAAAAAAAAAAGAAGCTTATGTGAGCTGAGTATAGAGACATAAAAGTTTAGACATACATCTGCGCCTGGTAGTAGGGGCTCTTGAACAATATTTTGTGCTTCCAAAGCCATTGATGACCTAATTTGCTTGGCCTTCTCAATCTTGGGAAGCATAACCGAAGCTCCACTTTTGCATTTCTCAATGAATTTGTGCTTTCAAGAAATGGCAGAAAATGAATAAAATTACAATAATGAAAAATCAACCTGAAACTTTCCTTAATGAAAGGCTTATACTGCAGAACTAGTTGCACATCAATGTAAAAATAACATAAATAGAAACTCCTAAAGTAACAATATCATAATAATACAAAGTTTAGTCATCAAAATAATGTCATTCAAGTCATTTAGTCATCGAAATATCACATATTCAACAATCAATAATTCAATAATAAAGGCATAAATCTTAATTGAATTAACTGTAAATTGAAATTTAAGATTTTAACTTAATTTAATACCAAAAAAAAAAAAAAAAAAAAAAAAAAAAACAGACACACACACACAAAACGTGTACTGT